TCTACCAAATTGGGTTGGTTGGGGTGTAATACTAATAATAAGTGTTGCCTTTAATTTAATCAATAAAATAAATTGACTTCATTAATTTTTTTGAACCACCTCTTAAGAAAATCTAAAAAATATGAATGGAATGATAAATCACAAGTACAAACTCATCATATTTTTTTGCATTTTAGATAGGATATATTCAGCAAAATTTAAGGGTGACGTCATCAATTTTTTTAGGAGGGATGAACAAATACATTTTGAAGAAAAGTTTACCATGCTTATAATAACTTTAAAATATTCCCAAGATTTCAAAGCATTCGGTTTTGTAATTCCCGATTAAATCGATAAAATAAATTCACGCCTTCATTAATTTTTTTGAGTCACCCTGCAGATGCAAATCCAAAAATATGAATGGAATGATAAATCACAAGTACAGACTCATCATATTTTGTACATTTTAGATACGATTTATTCGGCAAACTTTTGAGCTGACGTCATCAGTTTTTTGTAGAAGATAACCAAATATATTTTGACTAAAAATTTATTATGCTCTTTATAACCTTAAAACATCTGCAAGATTTCAAAGCATTCGGTTTTGTAGTTCCTGATTAAATCAATAAAATAAATTTACGCATTCATTAATTTTTTTGAGTCACCCTGTATATGCAAATCGAAAAAATTTGAATGGAATGATAAATCACAAGAAGAGACTCACCATATTTTGTACATTTTACATAGGATTTATTCAGCAAAATTTTGTGGTGACGTCATAAATTTTTTAGGGGGGACGACCAAATACATTTTGATCAAAAATTTACCATGCTTATGATAATTTTAAAATATCTTCAAGATTTCGAAGCATTCGGTTTTGTAGTTCCTGAGTAAATCAGTAAAATAAATTTACGCTTTCATTTATTTTCTTGAATCACCCTGTATATGCAAATCCAAAAAATATGAATGGAGTGATAGATCACAAGTACAGAGTGATCATATTTTGTACATTTTAGATATGATTTATTCGGCAAATTTTCGAGCTGACGTCATCAAGTTTTTGGAGGGGATAAGCAAATATATTTTGACTAAACATTTATTATGCTCTTTATAACCTTAAAACATCTGCAAGATATCAGAGCATTCCGTTTTGCAGTTCCTGATTAAATCAATAAAATATATTTACGCATTCATTAATTTTTTTGAGTCACTCTGTATATGCAAATCCAAAAAATATGAATGAAGTGATAAATGACAAGTACAGACTCATCATATTTTGTACATTTTAGATATGATTTATTCAGCAAACTTTCGAGCTGACGTCATCAAGTTTTTGGAGGGGATAAGCAAATATATTTTGACTAAACATTTATTATGCTCTTTATGACCTTAAAACATCTGCAAGATTTCAGAGCATTCGGTTTTGTAGTTCCTGATTAAATCAATAAAATATATTTACGCATTCATTAATTTTTTTGAGTCACCTTGTATATGCAAATCCAAAAAATATGAATGGAGTGATAAATTACAAGTACAGACTCATCATATTTTTACAGTTTGGATAGGATTTATTCGGCAAACTTTCGAGCTGACGTCATCAATTTTTTGGAGGGGATAAGCAAATATATTTTGACTAAACGTTTATTATGCTCTTTATGACCTTAAAACATCTGCAAGATTTCAGAGCATTCGGTTTTCTAGTTCCTGATTAAATCAATAAAATATATTTACGCATTCATTAATTTTTTTGAGTCACCCTGTATATGCAAATCCAAAAAATATGAATGGAGTGATAGATCACAAGTACAGACTCATCATATTTTGTACATTTTAGATATGATTTATTCCACAAACTTTTGAGCTGACGTCATCAAGTTTTTGGAGGGGATAAGCAAATATTTTTTGACCAAAGATTTATGATGCTCTTTATAGCCTTAAAACATCTGGAACATTTCAAAGCATTCTGGTTAGCAGATTAAAAATTAAATTTCAAAATGTTGTTTTATAATTTTGATTTTTTTTCCAAAAATCTGGACGTTTCGGGTGAAAAGTCGATTCAGAGTTGTAAACTAGATGTGTAGGACTATGTTATTTTATACAATTGAAAACCCATTTACTGTGTACAATTTTAAAGTGACGTCATCGCATTAATGGTGGGGATGATTAGACAAATTTTGGTTAGCGTTTTACCATCTACATGATATTCTTAATATAAGTACAAAATTTCACAACAATCGGTCGAGTACTTTCGGAGATTATCTGTCTAATAAAAATCCGGGACGGCAGACGGACAGACGGACAGACGGACGGACAGACGGACAGACGGACAGACAGACGGAAATGGGAGACCTATTTCTTCGTCTTCTAGGGGTCATGAAAGATCGAGAAAACGTAAAAGTAGAGAGTCGGCCGACGGACTCGATTACAATACTTCCTTTGCTTACGCTCGGGAAGTAATTAATGAATGCGTGAATTTATTTTATTGATTTAATTAGGAACTACAGAACCGAATGTTTTGAAATCTTGCAGTTCAAAAGTTTGCCGAACAAATCCTATCTAGAATATACAAAATATGATGAGTCTGTACTTGTAATTTATCATTCCAATCATATTTTTTTAATTTGCATATACTGGGTGACTCAAAAAAAATGAATGCCTAAATTTATTTTATTGGTTTACGCAGGAACTACAAATCCGAATTCTTTGAAATCTACTGCGAAAAAAAAACATAATAGGCATGCAGTCGTCACGTTTCTGACAGAGATTTAATGATGTTATTCAATTTTATCCATGAAGTTTGAATTGATCCTCTTGTGAACGTGTGGGTTCGGACGAGGGCAATCGTCTCGTCACGGATTGGTTCGAATTGCGGCTCTCTACGCCGGTAATCCATCAGCGACGGGAAATGCAATTCTAAGGAGACAGTGAGGATTAAGCCAAGCGTAATTTGTCGCCGGGGAGGTGATAGGATTGCGTAAGTCCTGCCAAGTACAATCCTGAGTCGAAGAAGGAAGTTGGAGTTGTGTCAGCCTTCGCTGTCGGAGTGCAGTTCCTAAATAGCGGTCATCCTTTCTACCCTGGACTTTTGTAGGGGTGATAACATGAGAGCAAATTTAGTAAAAAATTGAGAAAAGAAAGATTCTTTTTGTGTTTTTTGGTGACTTCACTTTTTCTCTCGTTTCTATTACGAAGCACTCAGTGGGTTAAATTCAAAAATTAAAACAACAAAATTCGTCCGAGTCAGTTATCCATAAAGATTTTAATGGAAAGAAATATTTGTTGTTCAGCGTACCACATAAAGTTTAATTTAGCCGTAATTAATTTAATAAAATGAATTTAGAGGATTCCAAACATGTTTTTAATTAATCCCAGAAAAAGTACAATCACATGAAATTACACACGAAAAACATAATTTTTTCACCGAACAGCGCTCATTTTAATACGTGCAGAGTGGCCGACGGCTTCGCTCTTGCATGCTCCGGAAAACTTGTTCCAAATTTACATACAAAAAAAATAATCAATATTTTGTTTTCATCAAGCATGGTTAATAAATAAAACAAAAGTTATGTTCTAGCAACTATAGTTGCTATATATAGGTAATAAATAGTGAGTATATGCTATCAACACGACTGTCATTCAACGTCAAGTAGTAATTTAGAAAAAATCTCCAGCAACGTGTCGACTTCTTATTTAGCAGAAAATTGAATTAGTCGCGATTAAATCAGTCCATCGATTCGGAAAATCCTTTCCGTCTACATTCTAGGCGTAACTGTTGTGTGTTGTAGTGTTAGTGTTATAAGAGGAAAATTTTTACTTCGTAAACGTCGATAAAAAAAACCGAGCTAATGAATGTACACATTACCGATGATTTGTACTTTTCCCACGACACTCTAATTAAAAACGAATTTTTATTCCTATGAATTATAGGAAAATAACGCATCTGTATAATGGGGGAAAGTTTTCATCAAACTTTTAAAATTGCGTTATGTTTTATCTAAAATGTGTCAGTATTTTCAGCGCTGCGAGTCACTGCTTAAAATGACAATAAAAATGAGATTATTTTTCATTGTAATCGAGTCCGTCGACCGACTGTACTTTTACGTTTTCTGGACCTTTCATGACGCCTACGAAGAAATAGGTCCCCCATTTCCGTCCGTCTGTCTGTCTGTCTATCTGTCTGCCCTCCCGATTTTTTTTTGTTAATGATGTTAAGGGATCCCTTCTGACCTAAATGTAACAGAAAATAAAATTTATTTGTTTTTAATTTGGTTACAACAAAAATACGATTTCGTCTTCGACTGACCGTTTGTTGATACATTCACTTCACTTCCGGGCGTTCCACTGATTTATGTCTTGCAGCCAGGCAGCAACCTACACAAAGAACTGCTTCCCCCACCCCAAAATTGATGACGTCTCATGTCATAATTGCCGAAAAATACTATCTAAATTGTACAAATTACGATGAGTCTATACTTGTGATTTATCATTGCATTAACATTTTTTACATTTGGATGAATACATTTTATGAATAAATTTTATTGATTAAATCAAGACCGGCTCACACCATTTTTCCCAAAACTTTGGGAGGGGGGGGGGGGGTATAATACGTTATTATTAGTATTACATGTTTTTACAAAAATGATGATTGACGTCACCACAAAATTTTGTAAATTAAAAACTTATTTGAAACATACGCGTAGCATGTTTCTTTACATTTACTTTAGCATTACATATTTACATATGTTTATTTCAACTTTGGTACCGCTTGTTATTTTTTCTACGGATATAACCAGGGGAAAATTTTGATCGTCAGGTGTCACAGTCGAACCTTTTGAAATATACAATTTTCCACCATAAATAAATTACCTACGTCGTGTTTTAAGGTGCCGGAATATTCCATTTTCAAGTTAAACACCAAAGTTCTATTTTTTAAGTGTCTAATATGAATAGGCTAGTTGAAAAAAAAATGCCAAAAGTATAATTCTACTTTTAAAATTTTAAAGAATAATCCATTGTTACAGACCTCGGTTAGACGAGGACGTCGCCAGGAAAGAAACAAAACCTACGAAGACCTCGAGTCGAAACAAGAAAGTCGACGTTGGTCTGCCGTTCGCCGAACAAGAAGCCAAAGTAGAAAAGAAAGATGAGCCGTCAGGTAAACACTTTGTTATTATATTTATTAAATACCCGTTATTCAAACATGAATACATACTTCGCAACACCGCAAAGCCAAGAATGTGACTTTTATTGTTCCCAAAGTTCAAGTTTACGACTCCCATTTGAATATGCGTACATACATACAGATTTCACGCATTTCATTTCACGCTTTATTTTTAGAAGAAGAAGAGCTAGATGAAGACTACGAAGAGGAGGACAACCCTGCTGAGGACTCCGTCAAAGAGAACGGCCTTCTGGAGATGTTGCGGCAGCACCGGGACGACGGCGAAGACGAGCAAGAGTACTTCGGTTACGACGAAGACGAGTATTCAGGATACTAGAGTAGGTTAATTGTGTTTCCAATTGTTGATCGCTGGCGGTTTTACACTTTTGTTGTTGTAATTTATTTATACATTTTGTATCTTTTAATATATGAATAAACGCTTAAAATGGATTTTTCATTTTTAGCGCACCCCACTTTCCGCCCGAAATGCGATTATTTCGGCCAAAGCAAAATTAGAAAAATTATTCCGCCGCTTCAAATTGCATTAAAATACCGAAGTCCTCGGCGACCCGTAATTATTCACAATGATTGAAATAAATCGCGATCGTTTTGTTGTTTTTACAGGCGAAATTTGAGGTCTGATGCATAATTTATAACGATTACTTCTTTACCTCCGTAACGAAATTACGCTGAAAATTTTACTCGTTTGCTTTATCTGTGATTTATTAAGGCGGAATGTCCGCAGCATGAAATTCGCAACAGGGTGAGGGTTTATTGTTTTTAATAGAACGCTGGAAGAGATTTTCGCGATAAAATGCAACTGTTTTATTGCAGCGCTAAAAATTTAGGTTTTTATGGAGTGCGGAGGAATTACAAGGATGAAATTACCATAATGAACGGATTATGTTTTGGTCGTTTTGCAGTTAATGAACCGAGAAAAAATGGATACATCAGCGTGAAACCAAAACAAGGAAACGTGGCACGAGTCTTTATGGAAATGAGTTGGGAACACCGATGTCGCGAAGCGGCAAAATTTTACTCGCGCAGTAATAACCCGAAAAAAAGTATGCGGCACTTTACTAATTTCCACTTAAGTTATACAAGATTCTAAAATTTATAATTAAAAAAAAAAAAGAGAAATAATGATGAAAATCTGTCAAGGCACGTATTAACTCACCGTCGAAATTAAGTTATATTACAGCCGCGACACTTCTCGAATCCGTTCACCCGCGTCGCCCCTTTTTCATTAAAACTTCAAGAAGCACCCCTATTGACTTAAAAAGTGGCTATTTTTCATATTAAATACGAGCGGCTTCGGCCAACCTCAACACGTAAAATAAATTTTAAATGTCTGTGCTCAAATTAATTCCCAAGGGTTTCCCCGGGCATTAGAAAAACTTTATTACTTTACAAGGCAGCAGAAAGAGCACGTGAATGTTATTACATCAAATTATGTTATATTGCGAAACCATCAAAAAACGTAATTTCTGGAAATTCAAATTTAATTTAAAAATTTAGATCGCTTATGAAAATATGAAATATCTCCGCATACAGGAATATTATTGTGAGACCGCGGCTGTTCTAATATTGTATGCACTTGTTGAAGCTCGCGAGATGAGGAGCGGAATGTAATATTAACGAGGGTTAAGTATGCCTGATTTAATAAGGTCAGACCATTTTTCCAGAGTGGATGAAAACTACGAGAATATTATTATTTATTCAAGTTGTGAAATCGAATTCTTGTACCTGTGGGGTGCGAGTCATGTTTTGATTAATGGTGGACTTGGAAGACTTGTTTTTTAAGGAAAGATGGAACGAAGCGAGTTTATGGAACATAATAAAGCACTTTGAAGTGCTTATACAACCAGATAAACGTGCATTATTCATCAAGAGACTATAAATTGCCAGAAAACTCAATAATAGGAAACAACTTTTCAAAGAAAAGTGCAGCGACGGGACAAACCTAATTTGCAAAACGGAACGTATTTTAAACTGTTGCATCGAGTTATAAAATATAAACGTGGCTTCCTAGGCAAGTGTTTCAGTTACAGTTCAAAATTTTGAGTTTTAGTTTTCTTTCTTGTCTTTATTTTATTCCCTTTTGTTTCCTAGTTTGTCTAAAAGCGATTAAAGTTGAGCAAATTTATTGCAGTCAACGCGGTAATTTAATCCACGTTCGGTGAATTCTCTAGTTTTAAATTAAATTTGAATAGTTGGACACATCTACTATTCCGACATTTTAGTTTGTTCTATGTAACTATTAAAATTGTATTATTAATCCAGACGAATATACGTCAGACGTAACTGTTAGAATGTTTGAATATTAAAAACGAGAAAAGTTTATTTCACGTTAAGTTTACTGCAATTTAGGACTTAAAAGTGTCAAAGTTACGCGTGACAGGATTTATTCCTCAAAGGTATAAAGAAATAAATATGAAAACATGCACTATATGTTATAGATTTAATCAGTCCACAAATTAGTTTCAATTCTTCCAAAGAGTCGTTTACCTATTAATTCCATTGACGATTTGATGGATAGGCAACTCCATTTGCAGCACAGCATACTAGGTGCTCTGAATTATGAACACTAGCAAATTTTCGAAGATAGCCAATGGAATTAGAATTAGCTGCTTGTAAGACACATGATTTTTTTTTTATAATTTTAATTAATTATTTTGATAATTTTATAATACTGAGAGGGAAGAACTGTAATAAGCTATTTGAGAACTTATTTCACACACATCACATCTTTATGCCCAAAAAACCTGTCGCATATTATGCGTCTTCCCACGAGTTTTCAATTTAAAAATCCATTTGGGCAAACGAAAAAAACCGTCAGCTTTAACTAGAAACGATCTTGTGCTTTTATGTGAAATTAAAATTTAAATCCTATCTTTTTCGAATTTATAACCATAACTTGTACTGGAATTACAAGAAATGAAATAAGCAATATTTAGAAAAACCACACGCTATCAGGAATTTAAAACAACAAGGAATTTACATGAAGTTAAATTATGCAACACTCTATCAACAATTTCAAACCACAAAGAATTTACATGAGGTTAAATTACGCATTCATTCAAGGTAATGCTTAAATCAAAAATGTGTTTACAAATTATATCGTCGTGGACCGAAAGTAAATTCCACATTACACAAAAGAAAGCACTATGAAATGTCATCAAAAAACCACAAATAAAACCCCCCTTCTTTCGGACCAGAATGTTGTTAGTTTGGCTGATGAAAAATTTCAAAGTTCTTTCTCTTAAAATGGATCAACGTTTAAGATTAGTTTAAATACTAAATGATCTAAAAAACTTGAGTGAGAAGTTTGTGGCGACACAATAATAAGTACTAGAAGAAGGATAAGCGGCCTAATGGTCTAGTGGTCAGGATACCTTCCCGGCAAGCGGGAGGCGTGTGGTTCGATTCCCACAGAGGCAGCAACATTTTTCTTCGCTTACATACAAATTTATGAATAGTGTGGATAATACAATAATTTAAGTAAAAATATTCAGAACTTTTAGACATATCGTTAACTAAACCTGAATAAGTGAATTTTCGTCACGTGTTTTACATGACTATTTTCCATGGTTGTTGTAAAATTATATTAGAATTGTGAACAGTTAAAAATTAATATGAACTGCGAGTTTACAGACAATAACACAAAAATTACACATCGGAATAGTTAAAGTTTTACATGTTTCAGATTAGAAAATCATTAATGAACTGATAATGCACGAATTATACTCGTGGGGGGGGGGGGGGGACCAGAACGTCAAATTCGTTTTTCATTTGTTAAAACAACTGCTCTTTTATGCGCAACATTCCAATCCCCCTAATCCCACAAAGTAGAATAGTTGCCTTCATTACTGACTGATTTTCTTATTTTTAAATTTTCAAATGCGATTTCACGGCGTTGATTTTTTTTTAATCTCTCGGTGCGAAGTTTAAATTTCAAGAACACCACACTGCATAAATTTTGGCCACTCAGTATTTTCAGAATCTCTTGTGAACAGACAACTTTGCCAAAAGCTCAACTTTTCCCTATGAAATTTTCGACTTGTTGATTTCGTCCCCCACAACTTTTTTACCGTTTCATTTTTTCCAAAATTCCTACCATTTTTCCAAAATTCCCAAAATAAAGTATGACAACAAAAATGTTTGGAAGTGCTAAATACAGGGCTTCTAGATGTTCGACTGCAATTTTAGCCCGCTTCCATTAACCCCGTGAGAACCCAAACATCCCGTCTTAAAATGATATATGAAAAAAATTTGAAGAGCCCGCGAAAGATTCAAAAATTCCAAAAATTGGCCTTGGCTGTGAACGTTTAACAAAATGGAACCCTATGTTGTGTTTGTTTTTTTTTTGTGGCGGAATGCGTGCCAAATTTAAAATTATGGCAGTTAACAAGGGAATAAAACCTTAATAAAACCCTATGCAGCGGGGCGCACAGCGACAGCGGCACCAGAGCGTCTCCTTGTGAATGTTTATGACTCCAAAAGTTGAGGGGGCACCTGAGTCGCTATAAGAGTGTGGCGATCGAACTATATTAGTTTCATTCTAAAACACAACAGAATTACCCATAGGTGGCGTTGGAGCACGAGCGGAGTTTGGGGCTCCTGGTTGTGGCTGTTCTTCCACCACGACGGTGATTCTACTCTATCGACAAGCATGCCGCTCAGCACTCCTCTATCACGAAGAAACGTGACGCGCGAGCAGGCCGTTACGGTCGCAAACTCGTGGTTGGAAATCCCGGCTATTGGCCCAAGCAGCGAGTGTCACGTCATCCCGACGGCTCCCCTGACTTTTATTCAAAATGCGTGTCTTTTGTGCAGATGGCGCTATAAATCACCCCAGCTCAACTAGGAACCGCGCCCTCCGCTTCTGCCACATGTTTTTATGTTATTTACCCCAATTCTATTTAAATGTTCGCTTTCTATTACTCTGATATTAAACTACAACTAAACAAGTGTTAAAGTTTCAAAAAGAGCAATAAACAACATTTCAATTCGCCAAACACTCTCGTGAAATTTTTAAACAGCAAAGATTAAGATTGGACATCAGACAATGTATGTGATGGAAACATTAAACAACAAAATATTAACAACAAAAAACTAGCAAAGATTTATAAAAACAAAAAAAGATCTGGTGTGAAGTAAACCTTGTAGGGACAAAAAAATAACGTGAGTTTAGGAACTTCTAAGCATGAAAATTTACGTCCAATTTAAATTATACAGCAAGGAAAGTTACTGAGGCTAAAATTGGGAGATAGAGAAAAATTGCAAAGCTAACAAAATTACATGAGGTTAATATTTGCCACACTTTATCAACGATTCAAACAAAGCATTTACATGGTGTTAAATTATACCACACTTTATCAGCGTTTCAAACAAAAAATTTCCATGATGTTAAATTATGCCATGATCCAAGTGACTGGTTACTTAAAACATTTAGCTTTGAGAGTTTATATCGTCCTTTTCCCAAAGTAGGACAATGTTAGGTTAATTTAACTGCCATAAATGAACTATTAGCAATCTTCTGTGAGAAATTAAGAAGTGTTATAATGTAACACTTAAGTATAAACATCCAGAAACCTTATGTATAACTTGATAAACAAAGGATGAGTCCTGACTAAATGAATCTCATAAAATCTCCTAGCAAATGCTTTATCTGAACAAACTCACTATTGTTAAATTGTGTTAGAACCAGTAACGATTAAAATCCTAACATGAACTGTGTATTTACAAACAAAACAAATTTACACCACGTGTTGGCGTCGGTCGAAAATTCGCGTATTTTGGTTTGGAAAAACAGCAATAATTAGCTACGCTTGTTGGGGAAACTGTGGCTTCCCTCTTTTTTTTAACTACCAACTTAATCTAGCCAACCTTACCGCGTGTTTACACTTACACCAAAACAAAATAACAGTGACGTATCACCACCCTCTAGCCAACAGGTGAACTTCACTACCAACCCTCTCACTAGATACTCCCCACAAATTCCCCTAAAATAACTACCAACTACCAGAAAAAGAACTAAACTTGGACATGGTGGCCTACGTTTAACGATTTTCTTAATTATTTTTTTTTTTCAAATTCAAATTATTTAAACGCGATTTCGTGCTGTTGTCTTTTTTCAGCGCGAAATTTTAATAAAAAAAAAGAGCAAAGCATTTACTTGTGGATTTAGACAAGCTGGCATGGGCATTAAACATATACATATCTAAACATGTGAATTTATCGCTAAGTATTTTTTATTTATATACAATGGTTTGGCTAAATAATTTTCTAACACATTTATTTACATTTTTGAAAACTAACCACAATTTTGTTTTAATAATGTCACAATGTGTTTTAGAATATTATTTGTCTGAAGTTGATTCCCCCTTGTTTTAGTTCGTTCGCAGAGTCGACCGTCAAACACTGGATTGCTCGGAGTGAAAACAATTTACTTACCCTAGACTCCTGGAATGTATAAATTAATAATTACGGGTTTTATACGTCATAACTACTAATATTTAGTCAATGAAATTATGAAATATCTTTGTTTATTATTTTTTATTTTACACCATATTTAGGCGAGTTAAAACTCAGTAGATTATTATTGAAGAACGATACATTCTACGACCACTATGGCGCTATGCTATGTTCTATAAATGAAGTCTTATATGCCTACTGAATAAGGAATGCCCACCCCATTTTAAATAAAATTTATTAAAAGTAAGAAATCCGTCATTCAAAAATGCACAATTCCACTCCCACAGAATTGTTAACTGAATAATACGGCGCTGTATAATATATGTATCATTTATTTTACTTTTAGGGGTGTCAAGTTCCAAGTTAAAACTAATTCATAGTAAGAATTTAGTGAAACATAAATTTACTTGAATTTTAGATTGTGCCTACCTTAAAATTCTGCCTTTGGAAACATACTGCATCCTGCTGTGGTAAGCTGACGAGGGTTGGCAGTTCGGTTCCCCTATACGGTCAAAAGTTTTGCATTGTACACAACGTAGGTCCCATATCCGCTAGACGTGCATAATCATTTGAAAAAAACTGTTTGGGTCGCGTTCTGTTAGGTTCCAAGAGCGCATGTGCTCGTTTTGGCGGCAATTACAATACTTACTTATAAATCAATAAATCTGTTTCATGCCATGACTACAAATGTGAGAAATTAATCAAACGTCATCAGTTACAGTTTTTCGAAAATTCAAATAGTTACACACTGCGTTATATTTTATTGCTGATTCATTTCAACCGTCATAATAAAAACGATAACCACAACATTGCGCAACGTGTCTACACTTGATGCAATCACCTGTGGAATCCCAGCCAGCCCGACGCCTAGGAAACGTAAACGCTCGCTTGTCCACAGACAGTATTGCCAAAACCATGGGTGCACCTATAACAAATTGTCCGTGGAACTTCTCCTGGGTCGTCCCCAACGAGCTGGCAGCGATGGCATGGCCCCAGACGACCTCCAATATAGAATACCTCCTGCTGCAAGGTATACGGCATTTAGTAACTTTGTCCCCTGAGAAAATCCCTCCCGTTGCCACGTTCCCCCAGATGGGCTGGACCAGGATCGACGTGGAAGAGTTCGAAGCTCCCACTCTTCAGGACATCATGACGTTTATAGCCGTTTGCGAGGAGAGTAGGAAGAAGAATCAGGTGAGAGGAAAGCGAGTCGGTTTTAGAATCAGCTGATTATTGATTATGAAAGAAGTTTATAAATAAACTTACGAGAGTTTGGCGGGTTAGGTGTTGGTGTTATCTTGTGCTTACGCTCAATTGGCACACGTTTAGGCCTATAAATATTCATTGTGTGGAGGGAGATGGAAATGAGTGTTTGGTGTATTGGTCCTTGTTGCGATGGGTATTTCATTGAAGTTTAATGTTGTGCAGTTTTTGAACCACTGCACGTGTTTATTGTCTTTGTTTATATATATTATTTATATAAAAATATCGCATAGTTTTGTTACAAAGTTGGAATTTTCTCTTGTTTTCTATAAATAAAGCAAAATATGCTAGATCGTACGGAAAACTACAAACTTACAAATACAATGGTAATTTTTTTGTTAAGTAGATGAATCTAGCGGATAAATTAATTTTAAAACGTATTTTTCTCCTTGTAATTAAGGTTAGGGTTTTATAACAGTTAAATTGTCCCATGCAGAATCTAGTTTTTTTGACTTTGCCGTTGTGTTTTGGGACTGTAGTGAGGCCAGTTAGCACTATAGTAGTATTAGATATATGGTGCTACACTAACAAGACGAGAAATGTTAGAAACTGGTTTATCAATTCTGAATAGAGATTTCTAAAAACGAACGAAAAATTAGACAAAAAGTATTGATGACAAAATTATATGCATTGTTTGCAAATTACGCTTATCTACGAAAAGAAACTTTCTGCAATCATCAGCAATGAAAGTACGTTCCTAATCTAATTTTTCCGTTGATTACTAATCTGATTATAGATTTTTTCCACCTAGTACAGTTTTTTCAAAATATTTCTAATCAGAAAGTAGTAAACATAACGTAAATACGCGAAATAAACTATTATCATTTTCGCAATCGTAAGACATACGATTCAACTAGTTAGTCATCAAGTCATCAATCTCTTTTCTTATCATTTTATTCCGAATCTCAATAACTTAAAATAAAACAAATATTTTCTTGAAAAAAGCTGTTTACAGATAAAGTTACTCATAAATACCGGGTGACTATAAATGGTTGCGATTTTTTTGTCAGGTTGGCAGCATGTTTAAAATTTTATGATGGCATACCTAGTTGTAAAAATGAAAATTAGGGCGCCAAGTCATTTTCTCATCACGTTTGTAAGGCGCGCTAGACACGCTCTTGGCAAAATTGACAATTGTGAACTGACATATTAACATTGTTGCCAATAATTCAGAATTATCAACAAAAAATTTGCTTCAATCATCATGAGGTGAAAAATTGCAAAGCTAACAAAATTACATGAGATCAATATTTGCCACACTTTATCACCGATTCAAACAAAGAGTTTACGTTATGTTAAACGATGCCTGGATCCAAGTGATTGGTTACTTAAAACAATTAACTTTGAGAGTTTATCGTGGACTGTTTACCCCAAAAAAAACACATAATAAATAAACACAAAATGCATCGGGCGTTGCGAGGAAAACTCCTCGGTGATGTAATTTTTAACGTTGCGAGAAAATAGGACTCGGTGATGTAATCTTTAATGTTGCGAGGAAATGCCTCGGTGATGTAATTTTCTACGTTGCGAGAGAATAGGTCTAGGTGATGTAATCAATCTTTAACGTCGCGAGGAAATAGGTCTCGGTGATGTAATTTTTAACGTTGCGAGGAAATGCCTCGGTGTTGTAATGATGATAAGGAGAGAAATCTTTAATTAACCCCCCCCCCCCCGTCAGCGTCAGCCCATGATATTATGAAGTTTGTTAATTTAACTGCCGTTAATGAACTATTAGGGATCTTGTGTGAGAAGAGAAATTAAAAAGTGTTATAATGTAACACTGTAACACTTACGTATTAGCATCCAGAAACTTATTCATAATTCGTTAAACAAAAGACAATCCTGACTAAGTGAATTTCATGAAATCTCCTAGCAAGTATTTATCTAAACAAATTTAATGTCTGTTAAATTATGTTAGAACCAGTTAACGATTAAAATCCTAACATAAACTGTGAATTTACAAACAATGAATTAAATTTACACGTGTTGGCGTTGTTCAAAAATTCGCACTTTCCGATTAGAAAGCCGCAAGAATTAGCTGCGCGTGTTCGGGAAAACCGTGGCGGCGGCGTCGTCGTCGTCGTCGACGTTAAACAAATCCTTCCTTCCTTTTATTAACTATCAAGCCAACTAATTTAACCTAGCTAACTTACAGTGTCTTTTCACCATGCTTTCACTCACGAAACCAAAACAACAATGACGCAGACTACACACTACCCAAAAGCGCTAACGTGCACATGGTTGCCTATTTTTAACGATTTTTTTGATTGAATTTTTTGGTCAAATTAGAATTATTCAAATGTGATTTCGCGCCGCTGTTAATTAATTTCAACGCGAAAATTTGATTCAAATTCGGTCACCACAATTATTAGCTAGTAAACGCGAATTCAGTTTTATAAAATAATGTACTCCTGTATTTGGGCTTTATGAATCCGTCTTGTTTTGATTTATTATTATTGTAATTTTTTTATCTAAATCTTCTTGTGTTTTAGTCACAGAACAGATAGCTACCTGTGGAGGGGTGTTCTGTGTTGCTGATGAAAGTTCCGCGATTCTGTTCTGGGCGACGTTTCCAGTTTTTTGTTATTGATCAATTCAAGAACTGTACAACCCATTTTTTATCATTTATTTTACACTATACGTGTCGAAATTGGCATAGTGTCCTTGTCCAAATGTTGATCAAAACATTCAATAGGAAAACTCGCCAGAACACAGGAATAGTCTTGTACTTCATCGATGCGTTCATACAGGGTGGTTTCCAAATGTGTGCATTAAAAAAATTGATAAAGCTCACCATAAGATTTATTACATTGTATAAAATTGACGTTCGTAAGTGGTAGCAATGTCTAAAAAAATTATTTGAAATTAAGCATAAATTGTTATACACCCCACTGGAAGTGTTTCTTGACCTACCGTAACTACTATTTAATGAATGGCACGAATGATTAGGATTAAAAACCAAAAAAGTGCCGCACTGATAAGCATCGTGCAAAAACGATAAGGACCAGGCATGTATCAGTTGGTTGCCGTCGTGTGTTCGGTTAACGCCTTTGACAATGGTGAATTTTTCCAATTAAAAGCGTGTCGTCATATTATGGTAATGCTTTATGGTAAGGCTGATGGAAATTCCAGGTTAGGCCGCGAATTTGTGGATTGAGCGCTTTCCAAAGCGCGTGATACCGTGTGCGCGAACATTCACATCAGTCCAGGACCAAACATCCGTCAGAATAAAAAGTCGATCACCATGAAGCATTACCAAAATCGGTCCTTTTCAGGACCACCATTTGTTTCTACAACAAATAATCTTTCGCACTGACCTTTAACGATGTATGAATGCATGAATGAACGAATGATTGAAGCAGCAAAATGCCGGTTTTACTTTTAATTGAAATTAAAAGTGTTTACATCGTTTTTATTCGAACATTTTTCCACCTACTTTTTCTTACACTGTGATTGGTATTATCCATATTGTTTTTTCTAAATAACTGGATTTACTTAATTGTATTTCAGGGGCCATTTTTTAACACATTAAATTTGTTTGAATGTCAGTTCTTTAGAGGAATTTTTTTCTTCTTGTTACTTGAATACTTTTCTAAAATTATTGCGAGTGGAGCTTTTGTCGTATTGCAAATTTTATTGATCATGTGTCAGACCTAGAAGAGTTTTGATTTAAAACATTAAAATCTTGCCTTCATTCCCTGATACTGTTGAGATGGAGTTTTGCAAACGTCCATATTAAAACAAAAGGATAGACATTGATGATTTTCAGTTAGATCTGGTCGACTCAAGTCCAGGCAACAGTAGAAAATAAAAAATTGACAGAAAACAGATTTTTTTGAATGAATGAAGCGAAATGGACGTAGACGTATTGATAGATGTTGCAAAAAAAAAGGTTTGTAAGAAATGACGTTAAGAAGGTAGAACTTTTTTTATACATCCACACACTAAAAGTCTTTTCATGTAGAATTCAACAAAGAAAACAACAATATATATAATATACACTTTACTTGGGAAAATGTAGGACGTTTTTAGAAAATTACCTTCGGATATTGTTGAGCTTTATGGTTAATTTTGCGTGTGTAGCTCTGTGTATACGATCGGCTTTATAAAAAACGACTATTGTTACAAAGCGTTCACCCATGGAAATATTTTTAACGCTTTATTGTGAGTTTGAATCCTTACAATTTCGTAGGTGTCGTGGTCTGTTTTTTTTTTTTTTTGATAAGTCGAAACCAGCACCCAAAGATCCCCTTTTGTAGTGAACGGATAAAATTGAAAAGCCAGCGACTTCAAAGGAATACAGATCGATTAATTGTTGTTTGTTCTACTTTTATAAAAAAATATTCGCTAAAATTGTTGTCAGGGTATGCCTGAACGCTGTGTTGTGCAGAATCCACTAATTGGAAAATTTCAGTTATTTATTCATTTTGTTAGTAGTTTAGTAAAGTAGGTCCCCGTTTCCGTCTTTCTGTCTGCAGTCCATCTGTCAGTTACTAATTTGTATGCTCCTTTAATTACGCTTTTGTAATATGTCCATATTATTACGTTGAACGGTGAATAAAGTCGGCGTGGGTAAAACTCAACAATTTATTTCTAAATAACTCAAATTTACACGACTGATTACACAGCGATCATGTACAAAATAATTCCGGCGCAATTTGACTGTGCTCTCCCGAAGGTGGCCACTATTTAAACCTATGCTTCCTTCTATATGTGCGGCGATCGGGGTCTTTCTGGAATACCAGTCGCGAGTTTCGCTTCCAGGCTTTTGTGTCCGGCCGCGTCATCGACGATGAGTACATCTAGAACCCATAGGCGACGTATGGGTTTATTTCGTAATAATATTTTCATATTAACATACAAGGGTTGTCATAAAAAGAAATTTTAAGCCAAAGCGCGTTTTAGAAATGGAAAAACAATGTACTGGCATACTTTACATACTTGTTGAACGAATAACAATTATCAAACATTCATTTTTACCATTCCGACATTATATTACTTACAGGAAATAATAAACATGATTGATCCGTGTATATTTAAAATACATACTTTGATACATCTGGCATGTCTTGTGAAACACTCTCATTTATTATTTTTTCAATTACGAATAACACGCCACCAATTTATGACATTTTATTTATTTTGCCACCAACATGAAATTTTAATAACTTTAATATTGCAACGCAAATATGGCGGTGCATTATTTCGTTTATTTCATTTAATAGAAAATCCAATAAACAAATTAAATTAATAATCCAACCAACTGAATTATCATAATACCTCCACCCAAATTTCCCTGTCAGTTCGAACCCAAATAACCGAAAATAATCAAAACGTTATTGCAACTTTTTCAACACTTGTCGGTTTAATTTTACAACGATAAACTATTTAAAAGAAGATTTATTTAACAGAAATGAAAAACTTTCTAACAACGCACATAAACACGCTGATCATCAGTTTCCAACTTGTGCAATAAAAGCCAATTTATTCCCCATATTTTATCCCAAGGAGATATTTTATTGTTGTTAAGCGCACGAAAGCCGAAAAGTGCTGTAACAGCCTAATTGTTCGCAATCGAATTATCCTCATTTTTCGCAAAATACAATTCAGAATTAATTCAAGCCCTTTTTTGAAAAGTTAAGTCTCTCGGTGCACAGAGGATTAAACTAATTTAAAACAATTCCCCGAAGGTGCACACAAGAACAAAAACGTGTAATTGGTGCCGGGTTGGCTTTTATTTTGTAACTCGTTTGAAATTACCTGCGCAGATTTGAGGAGGAGTCGCTGGGTTTTTTAATTGTATTAAAGACAGCTTTTTTTCACACACAGATTCCTGTGACGATAATTTTTTATGAAAGAGGAGCATCAAGAGATGCTAAGATTCTCTTATTACAATTTTCAGATGACGTCATTGGCATTTTTGATTGAATTTTAATTGTCGTGTTGTAATCACGAAATCAATGTTAATCACGCTGTAAATCTCGAGCGAGACGTATTTAAACTGAAAAAACGATGACGTAATCAAGTTTTTGAAAGAGATGACAGATGGATTCTGACTAACGAATTGCCATGTACGTGATAACTTGAAGCGGTTTTGTAGCTAAGCTAAAAAACAGCGCGTAAATATTGGTTTTCTGGTTAACAGCTTGTCGGCTTGTATTTAGTATTTTTTGTAAAATGAAAAAATTCATTAAAATTCTATTTTGTTTCATAATGAACTAATAGTTTTTTGTTATAAAACACAACGCCTGAATATTTTAAGCGGCAGGATTTCCAATAGACGATGTTGCTTGCATACAATAAAATTTAAATGAGTTTGCAGCGACTAATGAAGGACAGTTTGATCGTAATAAGCTTCGAGTTTCACCATCCTGTACTAAACTCAGCTTCGTTAACTTTAACAACGCCAACTTTAATCTCTTTTTGCAACGAGGTTGAAACAAAAATCAAACTCACGGCAAAATAAAGCCTTTGAAAAAAAATTTGATCAAAATCATGCGTTTTTCCTTAAATAAATTAAATGCAAATTATGTCCGGTGTTCATGAATCTAGGTCATACGCAGACAAAGTCAAAGGATCCGTTAAAGTTAAAGGGGGTAAAGGCAGTTTTAAAAACCATCAACTTTAGTAAAGCATAAAAGGGCAACAATAACGAGCCGTATTCATGTTTATAAGTTATTATCATTAATTAATGGACGCCAGACAAAAGCGGGGCAATCTATTGACGTTGTGGTAACGTTAAATCAATGTGAATTTATGAAATGAAGTCTGGGAGGAACATATGGTGGGGTTATTTTGTTATAAATCGTGCCGTTTAACGTTCAGTCGAGATTAATTGCGATGAATACAACATTCCGCTTAAAAAATAAAATTACCATTACCTCTGTCATGAAAAATACGTTTTAATAACAATAAAACGACGAAGATAGGAAAGTGCGGAACTGAAAAACAAACATACTGGAAATCCCACGAAAGTTAGGTTATGATCGACATTTATGACAAGCGATGAGTAATATCATTCATCACAACAAGGCTGCAAAGTTGCTAAACCTCAAACTACTTACTTCTTAGACAGTATTCTACTTCTTAAAAAAATCTTCAGCGAAGTTTATTTCGTTTCATTTCGACCAGCGTTAATGATGTCGCTTTTTTGTCAATACCAGTCCGTCGCAAATACGTTATTGATACTACATTTTACGCCTTCGCAATACATAGGGTCTATTTTGTTCGTCAATACGATCCTGAAAACTTATAACACACAACAATTCTAAAGAATATTGATTAGTCTGGGGAATAAATTCCGAGACGTATCCTTACAAGCTCTGACAAAGCTGTAAAGAAACTCTCTCGAGAGAAATTGTACATATGTTTTTGTGCCAACTGTCAAGCAAAACACCGGTGATAAACCAGGGATAATACAGTACACCAAACAACATTTTTATTAACCCGAGTCAACAAAGACTCGACTGAAAAAACACATCATTTAACCCAGGACAACTCGATTACAAAACATCTCGATCGCGGACCACCCACCTAGATAAAGCTCTCGCGTCAAAGCAGCTCTGACGGAATCTCGTTACGCTTTTCAGGCTGTCGGTGTGCATTGTCGCATGGGAAGAGGCCGAACAGGTGTTATGGCAGCTTGCTATCTGGTCCATTTTCAGGACGTTTCACCTGAAAAAGCCATTACAACGGTGAGACTTCAGCGACCCGGATCGGTCGAAACTACTGAACAAGAACGAGCAGTCTTGCGATATCGCGACTACTTGAGAGGTACTAAACTGGCTGAAATGTAAGCCCGGGGGATGATGCTGAAAAATATGATTTGCTCTTTACGTCGAAAAATAAAATTTACGAATGTGTTTGTTCGGAACGGCCGAAGAGATGTGATGCATTTATTTATTTTTTTTCCAAATAAAGTTATGTTGGTGAGTGGGTTGTATTTGTTGTGGCGTAGAAGAAAATTCAGTTGTGAATGTAGGAGGAAAAGAGTTTTCAAGAGGAATTTAAATTGATTGGCGGACTTATTTATTATGCACGATTATGGAAGTAAGGGTATTTTAGTACACAGATTCTTTACGCTTTGTTAACTGTGTCAGGAATTGTTAATGTCCAATTTTACACTTCTATAATTTTGTTTTTGATGCTCTTGTGGCGTTTATTTGTGTTAGTCTGCCGTGGTAATTATTATTTATTCAATTATGATATTCCACACAAGATAATTCACTGTTTGTTACTGTCCCATCTGATCAGAAATTTTGTTTGTTTCTACTAATGCATATTTATTTGAATTTGCAAATATCATGTCAGCCTCTTTAGTTGATTGGAAATAGAGAGAAGTTATTTATATGGATTTATCAAAAGCTTTGGTTCGAGTAAATCAATGTATTTTATTATTTGAGCGAGTTTAGAACTTTTGGAATTTATGATGGTTTGATACTGTGGTTAAAATCCGTTAATACTAACAGAACTCAATATTGAATACTGTTCTTAGTGGTTACAATTCTTAGTTGTTTCACACTAATAGTGGTGTTAGGCAGGGATCAAATTTAGGCCTTCTTCATTTTTATTTTTTGATTTCTTTTTATAATTGTACGGAATTTTGAGACGTAAAAGTCATTGTTCGCTAGAAGAAATGTGTCTGAACCAATATTCTAGCAATAATTACTTAGCGGGCAGGATCTGTGTTTCTCAACGAATTAAATTTATTAGTGCCAAGGTTAGTCCCTAGATTACACAACAGACGCTGTAATAACCCCCTGCAGTCAGGCTATACAATCATAATAATTGTACAAGCTAGTTTATATGAAGATATTTTTTACACTAATTGTGTCTCCTACAATTTCAAAAAGAGAGTATTAACTTATATAGATAGTGGTGTTTTAATATAAATTTTATTATGTGTACCAGTTAGTGTTTCCAATTGGGCTGTAACCCCTGTTTGACAATAAAAATGATTTCTTGTTATTATTATTGTAATTATTAATACTAATAATTACCTAACATTTAAGGTATCATCTCATTTTTGTGTAGTAAAGGTAAGTACTGTTGCGGCCCCCCAAAAGTACACGTTTTTTTCTTGTCACGGATTTTTTTTGAATTTTTAAGTTAATGTAAGCCTGGCTATTACCAGTGGCGTAGCGTTCGAAAAACATTATTAAATAAATATTACTAAATTTATTTAACTGATCGATAATAAATTGATCAATGTATCAAAATATATAGAACAAATATCCATGATTAAAATCTTGAACAGGTCACCTAACTTATAGAAAAAACAAAAAAGAATTGCAGCTCCATTTGCTTCAGTTAAATTTTCTAATCTTCCACATTTGCAGGTCGAAAATTTCTAGATTTGATTTTCTTAACAATATAACCCCAAATATTCTCAATGGGGTTGAGATCAGGACTACTGCCCAGAGCAAAACGTTAATTTAATTTTCTTCAAACCATTGCTTAATTATTCGAGCAATATGTATTGGGCAATTGTCATGTTGATATGTAAAGTTATTTTCTGGATATGTTTGTAGAATTGAGGGTAACATAACGTTTTCCAGTATTTCACGATAATTTTGTGCATTAAAATTGATTTTCCAGCATTCTCCTGGACCATGCACGTCAATCAATCCCCAAGCGTTGACTGCAAAACGTCCACTGTTGTTCAACAATTCTACATACAAGGTGATTGCGAAATACATGCAAAAAAAAAATGGGGAATAGCTCACAATATGATTATGTCACTGGTAAAAATTCACGGTCCTAAGTGGTAGCAGTGTCTAGAAAAAATTATTTGAAATTAAATGTAAATTGTTATACGCGCCGCTGGTAATGTTTCGTGACCTACATAATTACTCCAATGAATAGGCAGGCGACTCGGATAAAGAACCAAAAAAGTAACTTTATCAGGCACTTTTTTAATCGCAACGTGAAAAACACGAAAAGGGCCAGTCATTATCGAGCGGTCGTTGAAATCGGTGTCTGGTCCAGTTTTCCAATGCAGAGTGTGTCGATATGGTAATTTGTGTGCGCGAACATTTGCATCAGTGGTACAGGATCTCCGAGATCGTGGTACCTTCAACCTCAAACTCACGATCGTGGTCGTGATGGGACAGAAAGAAGAAATTGGATTTTCGCAGCTTGTAGTGCATCCTACATTAAAAGAACACGGTCACATCCATACCATCAGTAGCGGCTCGTGGTCCTTTCGTTAGGTGAGGCAACAATTTCGTTTCAAAATCAGCAGGTATTAATTAACATGTTGGCAATTACTTTTGTTAAAAGACAGATTGTTTATTCGTTTTTATGAAAACAATACAAATAGCTTTGAGTCAGTAACACATCTCTATTCTATATGAGTACACTTCTCGAATAAAAAACATTTAATTGCTTCACACAAACCAACGAGAAGGTTTAAAGACTATAGAATTTGCTTTCTTAGCATTAAATATTAATTCATATGATCTAGGGCTAATTTAAATATATTAATCAATTAATTAATAAAGTTCTCCTCAAATCTGGATGAGAGGTTCTAAATCTTTGACATACAATTGTTCGTCGTAAGAAAACCGTGCTTAAATATTTAAACTTTATAAGAAATTCTGGAGATTATAGATTCTTATGTTGCTATCAGAATTGCAAAACTGACATTTTCATTGTCCTACTCTGTTCAAGTAAACTTAAAAGTTTTAATACACAACCTTGGCAATGCACATGCAGTGAACACCTTTCCTCGCGTCTAATTAATGCACAACTAAATGCACACTAAATGCATTCAGCATCCCTGTTCAGCATTGTGCAGTTTCACCGTGAGATTAAAAAATCCGATCTGATTGGCTTAAGGACGGTAGGCGTTGGTGCCTCCGCTGGCGCTTTGATAAAGCACTGATGACTATTGTCTTACTCAAAAACATATTAGCGCCACTGACTAATCATACTGAAGATATCCGTCTTTCTGAGGCATGCCTCTGTCTGAAGCTGGCCTACACGGCGGTGATCAGCGCTTATTCCTGTCGAAAGCGCGTACTTCAAAATATGTTTTATACCAAGACGCGTTTTAATAAATCACAGTGTTCCATGAAAGTTATTTGCTATATCTGTAAAATATATTTGAAGTTAACAGATATTAAAACAAAAACTAATAGTCAATTTTTCCAGGGGAGGCACTGCCTCCCCTGCCTCCCCTGACGAGCCGCCACTGCATACCATGTTGACAAAGTGCACGGTTTGGAGCCCGCTGATTGTCCACGTTGTGTAACTCACTTTTTGTCCGTTGGAACTCCATATAGTCGTCAACAAGTACGATTTCAAGAGACCATTTTCGATAAATGTGTATCGGTTGGATGAAACAATTCGTCTGTGGAAATCAACAGTGTCTAGAAATTATCGAAGAGCTTCAACAAGTGAAAGTGGCAGCCGCTACTACGGTGTTTTTTACCTATCAACAAACCTCTTGCGACGCTCTGACGCCTGTATTGCTAGTCAAGGACAACATTTTCAACATTTCTTGTAAAAAGGTAGTGGCATTCTACGAGTAAGTTGCTCGTATTTCTGTTCCAATAAACAATGGAAAATCGTTGTGACAAGGACCAAACATCCGTCAGAATCAAAATTACCAAAAAACTTTCACACTGACCTTTAACGATGAATGAGTAAATGAATGAACGAATGTTAAGCAGCAAAAAGTCGGTTTACTTTTAATTGAAACTGAAAGTGTTTAGGTCGTTTTTATTCGAACGTTTTTCCAACTCTGTTTACAAGGTGGCTCAGTGCCTTCGTATCGAGGGTGGTTCATGGAGGTTTTGCCCCATTCGATTTTTAATTTGCTTTTTCTATATTTCGGCTCTACTAGGGTGGGGGATGCCGTGGTTAAAATATTTGCATATATTTCGCAGTCACCCTGTATGTGCAGTTTCGTGGTCTATATACGCAAAGTTTCCCGTTTTTACCGCATGGAAAAGTCTTTTCATCCGTAGATATAACGTGACTCTAGGAGTCGTCTCCCTGATTCAGAAAATTACGCACGAATTACAACTTCCTGAGTTTGTGTTTGTGTCAGTAAGAAATATGTTGTTAGCAGTTAGATAATTTTTCAGATCCCAGAAAGTTAGTTTCTTCTCTGGCTTTAACCGCTGTATTAAACAGATTATGTCTTACGAAATTAATTAGGCATTATCTTCATTCTCGCTGGAAACACCAATACAATTCTTGCTGGTCGGTTGAAAATTATAATACTATTTTGCCATTTTTTTTATTTTATTTTGAAAATAAAGCTTTTACTAACACGAAGATCCACAGCCACAGCACTCAAGGACCAACCCTCCTCTAACTAGGCGACAGTTCTTGCTTTATCCGTAACCGATATATGTTGAGGCTGGATTCTGGATTCTGGATTTCTAATTTTATGAGGGCTGACTGTAGCCAGCTGGAACTTAGGGGTCGCTTTTGGGCCCACTGTACCTTCACCAAGTCCATATCAGGGTGTTTTCCCGCACCTTCAGTCCTCAAGTCACCCAACTGTTTGATTGTACTTGAGTAATGCAGAAGGTGGGAATTCGCTGATTTTTGCCATACTAGGCCAGATGTTCCCTAGTATGGATTTCCTGTAGGAGATTAGCGCTGGACATTCACGAAGAATGTGTTCAGCTGTTTCCTCTTCTTCATTGCATCCACAACAGGTTTGGTCTGTTACCACTTCTATCGTATGTAGATGTTTGTTAAACTGGTATTGTCCCGCAAGGAATCCTACCAGTTTACGCAATTTGTTCCTTGTAAGTGAGAGAAAAAATTTCGGCAACTTACGGTCTAGTGTCACTAGCTCTACTGTGCCGACAGCTGCTGAACGTCGTCCATATTTGCTCATGGCGTCTATGGGTATATTGCTTTACGAGTTCGAGTTCCAAGAATCCTGGATTTTACTGTCCATGGTTCTTGGATAATTGCTATAGTGTTTTGCATCTTGTCTAGGCGACGACACAAAACAGTCGTCGCCGTGCGACAATGCTGCATGTTAATCTGAATGAAATCTCATACCTATCTGAGGAGAAAAGAGGCTTATGTTTCAGACGTTCCCGTCTCTACTGGTACAGGCTTCATCCCCTGGGGTCTCCGCTTCTTCCATTGGGATCTGCCTTTCCTGAGTGGACGCTTCGTTCCCATAAGTTTCGGGTCGAAAGAGGACAGCATATAGTCGATCCTGCCCTCTCTCTCCCTGCTTGATTTGGCCTCATCCATCCCAAGACCAAACACTGAAGAGGCAGCCTCGGGTTTGGTCTCGTGATGGAAAAGAAGCTATTTTTAAAGCGAGGCCATTGATTCTGACCCTCCAGGTGGCGAAGTACGACCACTGCATCCGCCGGTGGTCCCGGTATCCACAGGGTTGCCCTCACCAGCCTTGGTAGCTCAGCCAAGGGGATCATGTTAAGTCGTGCGCCTTCCTACAAGGATGTTAGCGAGTGCATTGTTTGTTTGCGATTCCAGAGATATCTCCTCTTCACAGCTTATTCTTAGGATTTCCTCTGTGTACTTGATGCCCCTGAAAGTCGCTGCTGGTCTTCCCAATGCCAGGCACTGTTCAAGTTGTCTGTCCAGTGCTCCCATCAGGCCATTCTGTACCGTCTCCACCTGGTCAGCAGTCAGCTTACCAAGTGATTCTGTACATCAATTACAGCTGCACGGAGATGACTTGCAGCTACCTCCCTGTAGCTATGTTCTTTAGAGGTGGTCTCCTGCCTCCTCATCCTTTTTTGCTTTTGTGCCATCGGAGGTCTGGAGGTTGAAGACCGCACTCTCTTTTTTGACCCTGAAGTCTTTTTCACCCGGGTTGTTTAGGGTTGGCTATTGTAGCCAGCCCTTTGCCCTTGGGGTTTATCCCGGAGGAGGATGGGCCCGATCTCGGAGGGTCGGCATTCGCTGCCTCCGCTTGCAAGCGAGCCGTCTTTTTACCTCAGCCCCGCAGATTCGTTTTCTCTTAGGAGGTTGAAACCCCACAGTGGCTGGGTTTCCAGTTTGAGGTGGACCCGAAGGCGCGTGGGTTTAGTTATTTTTTATCCATATCTTGGATTTTGATTTCGTCCTTCTGCGTCTGCACCCACCACGGAGTCCAACAAGGAGACATCGAACTTCGACGCCAGGGCTACCAGAAGGATATAGCCCTCAGGGAAATTCATCCTGCAGTACGCAGCCTCAACAAATGAGGCTACTCGTGCTCAGACTACACTTCCTCCAAAGACTCACCCTGTCGGCGGTCTGACCCGACGACGCAGCCGATTGATCTGAGATGGGTTAGTCTCGACCTCCTATTTTGGTGGAAATCCAGGCCAAATAGACGTGTTGACCACCCTTGTTGACCACACTGCACCAAGGCTCTACCTCCAAGATTCCTTCATCCCACCTTACGAGTTTCCACGCACCACACAAACACCGGGGAGCTTGTCCCCGGGGTTGTCGTGACAACTCCACACCACCAGAGGTTTATTTTTTAAAATCAACGTTTTTTACTTAAATTTGCAGTTCATTAATGATATTATTTACCACCCAATTGCATAGAGGTTTCATTATGTTGAGCTCCTGTGGTCAGCGTGCTGATGCCTACATTAACACTTCTCAATACGTAATAAAATTGTCCATTCGAGGGTCAGATTTAAGACAGTATCATTCTTGGCATATTTTTCGTATATTTTCTGTAAGTAAAGTATAATATAATTCTAGCAGCAGCAACAGGTAAGTGAAACGATGTTTTAGGTTACAAAATTCAATGGAGATATTCGTTTGAAGACAGCCTGTGACAAAAGTCGTTTATTTATTTTTTTTTTTGTTAGAAGACAAATTAGTATGTAAGAAAATTGTATAAAAAGCGCCTCAGGTATTTTTGTTTGCCAAATGTAAGCTATAGAAGTATTAATAGAGTTTATTTAGTTAGAGTTCCAACACTTCCCCTCGAGTCAAAGATCGCGTGACTGTCCCTTAACAAATGACGTTGTTAGTACCGAGTTTCGGGATTCCCAATTGAGCCGGCAAAGCGAACGAACGTGTGCGTAGGAGTTCGTGTGCGAACATTTACAGCAGTGACAATACAGGCAATATTAAAAGTAAACCAGCATTAGTGGCAATAATTTACTAAAATATCAGCAAGTACAATTACGAGTGGAAGTGCAAAAAGTGCGGAGCCGTTTTTAAGTGAAACGATAACAGCGAAGCGATAGGGGAGAAAAAATCGAGGAATCAGCATAGATATCGGATAAACGTAAACACGGATAGGAGAATAACCTCCGAAGAGACGATCTGGGTTATATCCTTCCGCCGTGAAGGAAGTCAAAGACAAAGAGGTAATGAGTAGTAAAGGGACAGAAAGAAAGATAAGGGATAGAGAAGTAGAATCGCCGAAAGAGAACGAGCAGGTCTTCCAAAGAAGCAAAATAACAGTAAGATAACCTCTGCAATCGAGAGAGAAGGAAAATCAAAGAGATATAGAGATGGAGGAGGTCAAGAAGATGATCAGCGAACTTGCGACACAAATCAGAGATGATATGAGAGAAAGTAATAAACAATTATTGAATGAATGGAATACACAGCTTTAAGAAGAGCTTAAAACAATAAGAGAAGAATTAAAATAAGCAAGAGATCAAGTACAGGAGCAAAATCAAGAAATTAGAGATAAGTATGAAGAATGGAAGAGAGCTAAGGAAGAAATAGGAAAGAGAGTGGGTGGAGTAGAAAGTCAACTAGATCGAATGGAGAGAAAAAAGAGAAGAAATAAAGTAGTAATGATGGGATTGGAAATAGAAACAGGAGAGCAGAAGCAGATAATTGGAAAGGTGACAAAATTTTTAGAAGAGAAAGTCAAAGTAGAGAGTAAAGTTAAAAGCGCGTACAAAATTGCAGAGAAAGTTTATGTAGTGGAATTAGAAAACAGAGAAGAAAAAATAAATGTAATGAAAAGCAAGAAGAACTTAAAAGGGTCGTCAACTTACATAAATGATGATCTGACGAAAACGGAAAGAATAATTCAAAACAAGATAAAAGAGGAGGCAACAAAAAAGAGAAATAAAGGAAAAATGGTTAGAATGGGATATAAAAAGTTAACTGTAGACGGCAGAAATTTTAAATGGAATGAAGAAGAGGGCAGACTTAAGAAGGCAGAAAATTTTTTAGTAAAGAGCCAAAAGAGAAAGAAGAAAACGAAGAAAAAGGAAAGCAAACAAGGCAAAGGAAAAGAAAAAGGAATAAAGGATGTAGATAGGGAAATCGGAAAAAGGGAAGCTGGTACAAAATTAGGAGAAAAAGGGGTGAAGGTACTGTTTTGGAATGTCCAACGGTTGCGAAAAAAGGAAGAGGAGTTCTGGGACTACGTGGGAAAATTTGATGTTGTGGGGTTAGTAGAGACTTGGGTACAAAGAGAAAACTGGGAGAAATTGGAAGAGACACTACCACAAGAATATGTGTGGGAGTGTCAAGGGGCGACAAAGGAAAAGAAAAAGGGGAGAGCAAGCGGGGGAATAGTAATGGGAATTCGAAAAGAAATGCAAGAATTGGAAAAGGGAAGTAATAATAAAAACGGACTAATGAAGAAAGTAATACAGCTGGATAACGATGGGAAATAATAACCGTTATAGCAAGAAAATGGAGGAAACCAAGATAAACATAGAAACGGAAACAAAAGAAAAAGGATATGGAAAAATACTTATAGGAGGGGATTTTAACGCAAAATTGGGCGATAAGGGGACAAGAATAATAGATAAAGAAAAGGGAGAGAAAAGAGGATCAAAAGATAAAGCAAATAACAAAGAAGGGAAAATATTGTGGCAGATAATAGAAGAAATAGGATGGGAAATTTTGAATGGAAACAAGGAATGAGATGAAGAAGGAGAATGGACGTACGTAGGGGCGAGGGGAGAATCAATTATAGACTATGGAATTGTCAACGAAGAGGCGTGCTAAGAAATAGAGAGTTTCAAAGTGGGGGAAAGGGTAGAATCAGACCACATGCCTCTAGAAATAAAAATCAAAGGAAAAGAGCAAGAGTACGAAAAACAAGAGAGAAGAAACGAAAGAAAAGAATTAGAAAAAAGAATATGGGATGAAGAGGGAATTCAAAGATACAGAAGTAGACTAGAAAAAAAGAAATTTGAAGTAAAAGAAGATATAGAAGCTATGATGGTGGAACTGAGCAACCTAATTGTAGAAGCTACGGAAAAAAGAAAGATATACATATGGCAAGGGAGGAATAATGGATGGAACGGAGAATGTAGTCAGTTGAAGAGAAAAGCAAGGGAAAAATTAAGAAAATGGAAGAATAACAAGGGAAGGAAAGAAGAGTACCTAAAAGCAAGAGAGAATTATAGGAGAAAATGGGAAGAAAGAAAAAGAGAAAAACGGGAAGAAGAAGAGAAGACAATAAAGTCCCTGAAAACAAAAGAGCAAGTATGGAGATATATAAACAAGTAACGGAGAAGAAGACTGAAATCAGCGGGAAAATCAAAATACATGAATGGAAAACACACTTTATGGAATTATTGGGAGGTTGTGAGGAAAAATGCTGCAAAATAAATAAAGGAATCACGACGGAAGAAATGTGGAGAGGTTCGGAAATAACAAAAGATGAAATAGGAAGACAGATTGAAAGACTGAAAAGAGCGGGGATGGAATCCAGAACGAAGCGTGGATGTCCGGGACAGAAGGAGTGAAAGAAAAGATATGGGAAGTGGTAAATCGAGTTTAGAAGGGAGAAGGGTTTCCTCGGCAGTGGAGAGAAGGTATAATAATCCCATTATTTAAAAAGGAGCAAAAAAGTGATGTGAAGAACTACCGAGGGATTACCTTGCTCAATACGGCGTACAAGATATATGCAATGATACTCGATGAGAGGTTACGAAAGGAGATAGAAGCAAGGGGTATGTTACCAGACGGTCAGGCAGGGTTTAGGAAAGGGAGAGGTACTGTGGACAACGTGTACATCCTGCCGCATTTAGTAGGAAGAGAAATAAGGAAAGAGGGTGAACAAATATTATACGCATTGTTCATAGATTTCAAAGCAGCGTTTGATAGCGTAAATAGAGAGAAAATGCGGGAGTATTTGAGGAAAAGGGAGTAGATGCATACTTGGGGTAACGAAAATGGAAGAAATATATGAAGAAACAGAAAATACGGTGAGAGTGAATGGAATAGAGAGTGAGAGTTTTTATACAATTAGAGGAGTGAGACAAGGATGCCCACTCAGCCCCGCATTGTTTGCAGCTTATCTAGGAGATATAGATGAAATGTTCAGAAAAGCACAGACAGGAGGGGTGGTAGTCGGCAAAGCAAAAGTGTGGTCGTTGGCGTACGCAGATGAGTTGGTGATTGTGGGCAAAGAAAAGAGAAGAAATGAAAGCAATGATTAAAAGTTTGGAGAAGTATGTAAAGAAAAGGAATTTGAAGTGAATGTGGAAAAAACAAAAATGGTGGTGTTTGGGAAGAAAGTAAGAAAGGAGAAGGAAGAGTGGGCATAGAGAAGGAAGAACATTGAACAGGTGAAAGAATTCCAGTACTTAGGGTATACATTAAAGAGCAATAACTCAGATAGAGCGCATATTCAAGAATTGGTCCAAAAAGCGAACAAAGTGATAGGGATAGTTTGGGGAATAGAAAAGAGAAAATTTGGACATGATTATAAGAGAAGAATGATGATGTTTGATAGTTTGATCAAAAGTGTATTCATGTACGGAGCTGAGATTTGGGGAGGGAGGGAATATGAAGAAATAGAGAGAGTGCAAGAAAAATACTTGAAATGGACACTGGGATTGGAAAAGTATACGCCGGGGTATATAGTGAGAGAAGAAACAAAAAGGGAGAAAATGAGAGTGGAAGCGGGTAAAAGGACGGTTGGATTTGAAGAGAAGTTCAGTGAGAGAGGTGATTGCAAGATATTGCAAGAATGTTGGAAAGAAATAAGAAAGGAAGGGGGAAAACATGCTTGGAACGAAAGGGACAAGTATTATGAAGGAAAGGGATATGCATGTGAAGAAATAGGGAGAATGAGAGAAATGGGAAGGAGTATGAAAGAAGAACTGAGTGTAAGAGATAAGGATATAGATGAGCAAGAACGTAGAAGAAAATATCGGAGTCTGGATATAATGCAGACCATAGAAAAATAGTAAAGGATGAAGTACCAAAGTACACAGAGAGAGAGTGTGTAAAGGAGAAAAAAATGATGGCGAGATTTAGTTGTGGAAATGAAGAGAAAGAGAATAATTTTTGGATGGATGAAACTGACAGAAGGTGTAGGATATGTTGGAGAGAGGGAGAAACAATAGAGCATATGCTGGAAGGATGTGAAGGATTGAGAGAGTCGGAGGAAAGTAGGGATGAAGTACTAAACGAGGATGGAAGAGGACTGGACTGGATGAAAGAAGTATGGAAGATAAGGGAACTATGGCAGAGGGTGGGCAAGCAGAAAGAATAGAATATTTATTATATAACACTCGAATTTTTATTTTATTTTATTTTATTTATTTTTATTGTTATTGATTTATCTGAGCTAGATTAAGTTCATTTGTACCCCTACTGGGAATATTATTAAGCCTGTAAGGCAAATAATAAGTTAATACTACTACTAGTACCGAGTTTCGTTCAAAATTGTTTCTTCGACCTACTTGTGTCCACGCATATAGTGCAAATCGCCAATCCTGTCCATACACAATTGTACATTTCCGTGGGAGTCGCCAACCACGACGCCGTCACACCAAAAATTTACTTCGAACTCACGATCCGTTTTTTTTTTCTCACGCCTATTAAATTGGTTCACAAATTGAGAACCTGGAGGGTGTTACGCACTGCAACACTTGCTGTAGTAGTGGACGTAATTTAACGTACGTTCTTCAAGAGGTTGAGCCTATAAACTGGCCAACTCGTTGCATAAATGTATCGATACAGCGCTATCCAGGCTTGGTTTAATCACCTCACACTTCGTTACCTTCAAGCACACGTTTCTTGCATGTTTCTCGGGCTCACTCCTTGTTTACTGCGGCATTCAAGTGCCCTGTGCGCTGGCCGTCCCCTCTTGAAGCAGCGAAGTTTTGAGTCCACCTTGTTCCGTATTCCGGTGTGCCTATCACTTCCTTCCGCTCGCAGATAGCCAGAAAATCGGGATTTACTTCCGTATCCCTCTCGCCGCCGTCGCCGTTTTTCACACAGGTGTGCCCACTCCGATTCCCATAACTTGGGCCCATAACCTGTTAATGCAATCAAGGGAAACACCAACGGAATCAAAGCGCATATTAACAAAATAAGGTATACGTCACAAAAGATTAGTAAACCAACGACCGAGCAATATGGCACCACGATACAGACAAATATGGCGTCTCTAGAGTGCGCAGTGGTTCTACGCGCAATGTGGTACACTTCGATTACAGTTCTGCCGATCAACACTTGCACTCTCAAATGTAGATAGCGTTTCAAATGTTTTAGGGTTCCCGTAAACATGGTAAGTCACTTGATGATGCCAATCTTATCTAAAATCTACAAAATACTATGAGTCTATATTTGTGGTGTCAGCGCATTTATATTTCTTCGAATCAACTTTGTCTCGATCGAAAATATTAGGTCTAGTACGGCAAAAAATCACTTTTCCTTATCTTATTGCGCAACTAAATCTCATAATTTCTGTGAGGGTTGCCCTTTATCTCCTTGCTCCCCATTTTCGTTTTGTTGGTTGTGTTGTGTGAATTGTTTGACAACAATAGCAACCTCATAAATAACCTGAGCAGTAAACATCTCTTTCTGAATATTTGTTCAGAAAACAAATCGCAAAAATAAATAAACTCAACAGGTGTCTTCTTGTAGTTCTCCATTTCGCCGAAACCATCCCGCATTAGACGACATTCTTCCTTCGTTGCGATCTTGACGTCTCCGTTATAGGTATATTCTCTCACCCATAAATATTTTATAAGCCCCTGTTTGTTAGATACTATTTATCTTTCTTGTGTTTCACGGTTGCTCGGAACACATCTCGAACCGATCAAGCCGGTGATATTTTACGAACGCTTAAAATAACCCGGAACACGATGTGGGCGACCAACCCATCAATAATACTGCAATAAAATTTGGGAACGAAATTAATATGTGAATGGAGGTGTCTAAATAAATGAATAAAACATGAAGATTTCCTTTATGAGTTTGCGACAGCCGAAACATTAATTAATGTTTGGAAATTACTTTCAAACTTTTATTATTTCGAACTCCGGGAGTGTCCATGGTTACCTATGGTATTTTTACCAGAAGCTGGGCTGCGTATAAATAACGCTTTTATTTCGGACACTGAAAGGAAAATTCCTGATTGATATTCCCCTCGAGAAACATTCTTGATGAAAGTGAACAAATATAGACTGTACTTACATATTACATACCTAGTTTTAGCTACAAAACCAATAAATGTGGATTTATTTGAAAATGGAATTGCATTAATTTAAAATCCCAAACAAATTAAACACCGCCTATAACTTTCAACACTTATAACGCTGTGAAATAAAACTGCGAAATGTGTTCGCAGATGCCTGCAATCAAACCAGAACGTGAATATTTCCACTAGTGCCATATAAAATCACTTCACTCCACCAAACACACATAATTGAAATCAGTTCATTTCTTCAACCACAGAAGCACTTCCTTTCGCATTTCCAGCGGCGTGTGCCGTAAATTACCAAAATGAATGGGAATTTGTTGAAGAGAACTAATAGGGATCCAAAGGAGCAGGATTACTTGAACCTCGCAGAATATTGGAAAAGTTATATTATTGTTTGTAGTTTCCAGCTACTCTATTTCGTGTACGTCCGTTA